TTGAAGCTTTAAAAAGATGATTATGTTATTTGATAGGTTTTTGAAAATAATCTCAGTTACAGGAGCACGCATTTTATACGAAAATTAAGTTTTATTATTATAATTTGTATGATTAAAAGTGAATGACAGTTAACCGAGCTCTAGTTCTCGATTTGACAATTTTCATTCGTGAAAAAATATTCTCGCAAGTATAAGTATTACCAAAAAGAGACATCAGTTTTTTTTGTATAAAATATATAACATACTATTTAACTAAAGACTCAAAAAAAAAAAAAACAATAAATTTTGTCCCCCACTGAATATAACGCTGATAAACTTCTGTAGATAAATAATGTATAACAATGTCTTATAATTTTTAGTTACCAAGTTGGTAAATTATATTGTTCTAATACAAAATTACAAACAATCATAAAATAGTATTAATCATTGTATAAACTTTATTATCGTGTACATTTATACAACTAGATAAATAAAACAATAATATATTATAAGTTAAAATTTGTATCACGCATGGTAAGGTTCATTATACAAGGAAATTGTTTCAATTACATTGTATATTAATAATTATACTAGGCTTTATTTTTTATTAAAGGTTTCCAAAATATATATATATAGTTTAAGTTATGAGTATATAATTTAAATATACATCAATAAATACAATTGTCGTGTTTCCTATAAGTAATAAATTATGTAGTTAATTTATCATTACTTCTAGTATAATTTAAAAGTTAACATTTAGTTGTTATCGTATCAACTATAAATACATTCAATTATTATTACTATTATTTATTTATTTATTTTTTTTTTTTATTGAGTATTATTAAATATTAATTATTAACTGGAGTTTCTTCTGAACTTTCTGAATTTTTTACTTTGAAATCCTGCCCATAAAAACGTATATTTGATTAAGTAATAATTCAATCATTTAAAATAGATTATTTTTTTTTTACATAACTTAACTTACCTGTAATTTATTTAAATAATTATTAATATCGTTTCCAAAGTCAAGTATTTTGGTTTTAATATCATCTGGTAATGCATCGAAAGATTTGTTCGTTACGGAGGTTACAGTATTTGTAACCTTTGAAAACGCTTCCGACGCATAAAGTGACGAATATCCAATAATTTTTTTTACCTCTTTATCTTTTAATGGTTGCAAATTAAATAATTCCTTAAAAAATGTTAAATTTACTTAATATATTATGATATATATAGCCTGTGTATGCTCTATAGTGTTATGATATTATTTATCATTATATTTCTGTTAAATATTTTTAATTTACTGTTTAAACAATATAAATTATACACATATTAGTTTATAACTCAACTATTAATTTTTTTTTTAAATAATCAAACACATTATATGATTTTAATTAGATAATATATTTAATTTATTTCGAGTTAAGTCAAAGGTTGGTGTAATTACGAAATGTGTTCATTAATTTTAATATAAAACACGATGTCATTAATTTGTACAAAATTCTAATTAATATATTATATTAAATATATGTGTTTAAATTATGCAGTTATATACTATGCGTGCATATTAATCATGCTAAATCTATACATATCGAATAACTCACGGAGAACAAAGTGCACATTAATTTTAAATTTTAATACAGATTAGTATATCAACGGAATAGTGAAATGTAACAAAACACGAACAATAAGTATGAAAAAATATTTAACATATTATGACGTGTAAAAGTAAAATGTATGTAATGAAAATAACAAAATAAAGTAATTAATTTTATTTCGTTTTTCCCTCAGTTTTCCTATAAAGTATATTACATTTTATCGTTTCGATCAAAAATGTATAAAACTCATTGTGTACTGGCCCCTATGTGCAAATTTTTTAAACAACGTCCACTGTAGTACCTTTCTATCTTTTTACTGTCGAGTTATTATTTGTACAAAAATTAGTATTTTTATTTTTAAGTCATCTCAAACACATAATTATCTCAAATTAAACAAAAACATATAGGTAAATCCTATCTTGAGCTATTACATTTTTTTTACAGGGCAAAGTGAAACATAGAAATATGCTAGGTGGCCGATTGTTGTTTGGCTCCGTGACCTTATATCTTCATACTGTCAACAATGGGATAGCCGGATAGTTAATATTATGTTGCGTCTCGCTGACAGCGCCGATTCACATATCCACACAGAAATGGAAATACTTGATATATTAATTATAAAGTAAATCTTTATTTAACTTGGACTTAAATACAAAAATATACTATTGTAGGTACAAGATTTTGGTGAGTGGTGTTACGACTTTACTCCAAAATACTGCTAAACAAGATTGTGAGTGGTGTTACGACCTGCCTCTGAGCGTCTTGGATATCCCTAACCGTCTCACGAGCGCTTGTCCAAGTCTCCCTTATAAATGATTGATTTACAAAGAATCGATTGCGGTGGTGGCGACTTCCGATGACACGAGAGCTCTAGCATTTGATTATTATTCTTGTTGACTCTTACACTCTCAGAGTTTCAAATTTTCTAAGAAATAAGCGACGTTTGATCATACCTTAATTGTCTCCAATAAATAATACAATGCTCACTCTATCTACCCTGACCTCACGCATTAGTCATATTGTCTTGTCTTATTAAATAATCGGAACATGTATCACAACACCGTAAAATTATTATAGGTATGTTGTAAAATAAACTAAATATCACGTGGTCTGTAACAATTATAATACCATTAAATAATGTATTTTTTGACTTCAGACTTTTTTTTAACTATTTTAATTCGATGATTAATTATAAAAATCGAGATTAACAAGTATAAAATGTATTTATCATTTAATAAAATGCACATCATCAATACGATATAACTGATATGATTATACAGTGCTAAACCTATATGCATAAATATTAGATGTACCTATTCAGAACAATCTGCTACGTAAATTAGAATTTGTAATAGCTTAATAATTTGGATGATATTTACTAACACAAAAATATGCGTTGTAATAAATTTGATAAAATTTATTTAATCAAAGAAATGTCATTGAAGTAACATGATGAATATTACAGTGTTATAAATTATTTATTTCTAGATTCTGAGCAGAGCAATGATTTTATAATGATATCTTTTTATTTGTTTATTTATTTATTATTTTTTTTTTTTTTGTGGATGAAAACATGACAAATAATTGAAAAATGCTTTAATTTTCATAAACAGAGCTGGTTTTTAGATATGAAGTTGGATTTTAACTGTATTTTAAATTAGTCAAACTTAAATTTTCGCATACTTATTTTAATGATCGGAAAAACTTAAGGAAAAACGGGAGTTTTTATGCAAATCCAATTTTTGAAAAAATTGATTTTCTTTTTTTTTTATGAAACTCATTCGTAAATATTTTAAATTATTATCGAATATTTGTACTATTAGTTTATATTTATTATGTAATTTTCAAAGTATTTCGACAATTTATACTGTTATAGGCATAAGAACATTTTTAGGTTTTTTTTTTTTTTTTGTGATAAATTTTAGTTAAAAATTATTTGGTGAATATGATTGCTTGAAAATTCAATACAAATCCCCTCATAATTTGTTAATTTTTTGATTAAAAAGTATTGAAAATCTATAATCATAATATTTTTTTATACATGTTTCAAGTTAAAATTCTGTCATAATTCATAAAAATCGTGAAAATTATAAAATTGTTTTGTAATTCAAAACTTTTAAAATGTTTGTATATTTACCAAAGATTTAAAAATTAAATACAAGGTTTTTGATTATTTATTCAATCTTTATCCGAAACAAAATTTACCGGAAAGCCAAATTAATATTTTATAAGCATTATTTCAACTTCAAATATTAACAATATTTTGATATTCACCCGTAAAATAATTATTTCTCCTCAAACCATTTTTAATAATTTATTACAATTCAAAATAACGATGAATACTTGAAATTTTAACCAAATATCTATATTATTATATCAGATATCTTATATGTATAATATATGTATAGACACAATTTTTTTATTTTATTTTATAAGTTAACATTTTGAATAAATTCTTCAAAATCTCAAAAATTACCAACTATTTAGCGCCTAAAAATATATAAAAGCTTTTATTTTTATATCAAAGTTTTGCAAATATAATACATTATTTTTATGAGTAATGTACATTGAAAGCATAAAATTAAAATAATATACATAAAGACAATTATTATTTATTGATATTTTAAGTTCTGATTTAGATGAAATCACTAATTTAAACAATAAGTAAAGATATATTTATTATTTTATTTTAATTTTAAAACATTATTCATTAGAACCTAAACTTTCTTGTATTTTTTATTATTATGAATTTTACTATACGCAATAAAGTTATTGATTTATTTTAAAATATTATTTATTTATAGATAGATATTATGTATTTATTATTACTGTTTTACGATATTTACGAAAAGATGTTCATACATTTTGACTTATATAAATTGATATAATGGTATAATAATTAAATACTAAAAGTATAATAAATGCAATATTTTCGGAAAAATGTATATTATTATTTTAATACTAAGAGTAAAATAAACAATAAAGTAACTTTAATAGCTAAATCAAAAACAAAGTTTACTTGGTGATAAAAGCTGATAGATATTTCCGCTCAGAATCGTTTTTAGTTTACAATGATATATTATTGAATTAAATTTTTATCAAACATATAATAATGAACCATATTACACCTAATGCATAGCAGAGTGATACCCAATTACTAAAATACCTAATCTTTTTTATTCATTTATGAAGTTAATTTGAAGTAACAACAATACACACAACGCAATTTTAAAATTATAAAAGATATGGTAGCTAATAGGTGTATTATTTTATAATATGTTTATTGTTTAATAAATAATAATTTATTGAAATAATTATGAAGGAAAATGCGATCTTAAACTAACAAAAATTAACGATAAAACAATACACAGTACACTATACTTCATTAAATAATTATTATAACTAAAAAATATTTTGAATTACCTGTTGGGTTTGTTCCAAAGTTCGCTTTACTTTGCGCGTAAAGTCTTTCAAGTATTGAGTTATTTCTGGATTTGAATCTTGTACTTCATGTACTAAATTTCCGATAGGTTTTGCTGCAATATTGATCGTAGATCTCATAATCTTGTCTGTTAATTTACTTAATGTAGTTTCAGTGGTTTCAGATGAAATCTATAGTATAAATTAATTATTAATTATTATTAATATACAATTAAATTAAATACAAACAATATATATTTTATTTTAAAATACTTTCCTGTACTACCAACGTCGATATTAAGATTAAACAAATACGTGAAGTCCTCATCTTGTTGGTACTTAAATTCGAATGATAATCTTATGTTATAAAAAATCAATATTTATAGGTACTATTTCCTATTTTTATCGTGTAAATAACAAAAATAATGCAATAACTTAATTATTTGATTACAACGTACATTACCTATTACTTAATTTGAGTAGAGTAAAGCACGTTTTTCATACCTACCGCTACCGCACTAGTTATATTTATGTTCTTTGTACCTAATAAATGGGAATTCATAAAAAATGCTAATTAAACTTTAATATATTATTGTGTTATTAACAACAAAAGAACAAAGTTTCATAGAGATTAGACCACTGCCTAGTGCTTATCGCCAATTATTGATAAAAGCATTCGAGGTTAGATGTTAGGAATGAATAAAATGATTCGCAATAAAGTCTTGTAAAAAAAAAAAATTAGCCAAAAACTCCGTCGAGGAATTGTAGTTGACGATCAAGCAATAGCGTACAGGAACATTGTCAAGTCTCTTAAACAAAAACAATATATATATATCGATTTAAAGAGATTTTAAAAATTATAATATTAATTGTGTTGAATAATGTGATTAAAAACATAGGGCTGCTTTTCGTAACTCTTGAGTATTTTTAATTAAATTATTTTTTTATCGTGAATTTTAGCTTTGATGACTAAACCATTAGATAACTTCACACTCTCACTCACTCGCACGCGGATACACACATACACACACATATATATATATATAAGATTAAAATTATGTCGAGCAACGATATTTGTAACACGAAATTACGAAATTGGATAACACAACGCATATTTTAAAGTAGAGTAATTATAATTAGTTTTATTAAATCGATTGGTGAGTCATTGGTAATAGACTGGTTAGGACAAAACAATTTTAATTTTAAACTCGATAATTTTAATATTTTATAATAACTTATGTGTTCAATTAAAATACAAATCTGCAATAGTCGAGTGTATGGTAGCAGTTTTTTATTATATTTTGAAAATATAATAGTTTGAGAAATTGTATTACTGACTTATTGATGAATGGTATAGGGTGAACATGATGATGAATTACTCTGTATAAAAAAATAGAAATAAATAATGAATTTTAATCTTGTTCCCGTAGTAAACGTTTGTAAATTACACGTTTAGCAAATTTATAATTTAAAGAGAAACATAAAATATTGAAAAAAAACGATTTATAGTGATGAAATCGTGAAAAAACGGAAAATAAGAGTTTATTTGAAACCAAACAAAATGATTACACTACTCCTAAACGCAAGTAATCCTCAATTATTTCTGAATGGAAAAAAATCTGTTATCACTTAACATCAATAAGTCGGTGTGTATACAACAAGGGCGTCCCCAGACATTTTTCTAGGAGGGGGGCAATATTAATCTAAAAAATGAATAAATATTTTTTTATACATTTTATTTATAGTAGATACATTATTATGTTTCATCATTATTACATTTAGGTATTGTAATCATACATTTTATTTATAAAAAATTATTATTTTTTGTCATTATTACATTAAATTACTTTGATTAGGTAACAAATTAAAAATTTTAGAGGGAGGGACAAGTGCCCTGTCTTCTCCTCCCTGGGGACGCCCATGTATGCCAATAGACTCAAGGCCAGCTCTAATTTTTTCAGCGCCAAGTTATCGTCTATCAACATATCATGATACGATCGCACTAAGTGTCACTGCCATGTAACACATACTGACTCATTCCTTACACGCAACTGTTATTTTCGAATAGCCTAGTCTCATAAATCCATAGAAGGGATCACGTACCTACTTAGCTAGCGTTTGTAAGTAGTAAACATTTATTTTGATTTTGCTTACGTGAGAAACAGGTAGCGACCAGTACGTAGTCCGAAAAATAAATACATTTTAATCATGTTAATAATATGTTGTTGGATTGTTGCTATTTTGTATGTAATTGTGAAATGCATTATGCATATCCATCATACAAATGTAATTAGTTTATTTTGAAATGTTTTCAGAAATTAATTGTTATTTTCCACATTATTAATTAATATTGGTATTATATTTTTATGAAAAAAATTATCATTATAACAAAATATGTATAATTTTAGGAGCATTAGAAATATTTATAATTTATATTTTTACGTTTAAAATTTAAAAATGTTAAGTAATTCATAAACAAGAAGGTATGAAAAAAATACAATAAATCATTCAACTGTTTTCACAGTACATTGTCAAACCTTCATCACACAAACATTTTAGATTGAAATTTACCATCACTTATGATTATAAATAAATATGACAATATAAAAGGTATACACAGTTTATTTATAATTATATTATATAAAACAAAAATTTTTTACAAGTCTTTTACGAGCAACATGTTGCAGTTTAAAAAATGATTTAGTCTTAAAAACACAAACGTTACTATCAAAAATAAATTATAGGTAAATATATTGTATACATTTATACATTTTACATAAACTTTATAAGTTGACTTGTAATCTACTAGGTAAGTATACATTTAGAATAAAAACAATTGTATTAACAAAATATTATAATGCAGTAAATAAATAACAATGTTTGTTTATATACATAGTAAAAAAAAATAATCTATAATACATAACTATATTGTATTATAATTAATATATATCATAAAATTATAGAAATTCAATATTAAATAATTAACTAATTTGAATCTGTTAAACATATTTAGATACTATCTTTAACCCCACAATTAGTTATATAGAGATGCACATGTCATTTTAGTAAATATAGGAAAATCTTGAAAATTAAATTCTAATTGTATTGTACATAAAAAGGAAAATCATTAAATCAAAGACACAAATGTACAGTAGAAATTGTTGTAAAATTGAATTTGTTAAAAAATAAAATTATGAGGAAGCAGTTTATTAACACACAAAAATAATTATGTAAATATACACAATTATATACTGCTTACTATGTAAAATGGTTAGAACAAATTTCATAAAAAAAAAAAAAAAAACCCATAGTTAAAACACAATTAAAATATGTCTATTAAAATTTATAATTAATTGTAAATTCAATTTCTACTGTATACCAGAAATAAATAAAAACAAAAAAAACAAAAATAATCTTAAAGATAAAAAAATATTTACATTTCTATAAAACATTAATGGCACACATTTATAAGCTAAATGTTAAGTAGATCAACTGACAAAAAATAATAATAAAATTGTTGTTCATTCAAAGTTGACAATAGCAATTTAGTAATATTAAATTTAATTCTATCTACACAGTCTTGGGCAAAATTATAAAATCCTACAGTTCAGCTTTTATGGCTGTAACATTAAATTCATCCTGTATTATACATGATGAATACCGTTTTCCAAGGTTTCGCTATCCTCGAGTTTTCGCAGTGTCTTCATTACTCTCAATGCTGGCAATCTTACATTTGGATTTTGATGCCAACATTCTTGTATGATTTCAGATATCACTCTCAACCTCTGAAATATAAATAATTATTTAAAACAAATTAACAAATACTATTTATATTACTTTTATACTCACATTATCACACTTCCATCGAATAGGTATGTCTGGTCTAGCACCTTGTACTATTAATACTAAGCGCATGTCTTCTACTGAAGGATCAGAGCCAACCAAATTAGCATAAGGCAACATATATTCGTCAGCTTGAAGCATAGGTGATCCTCCAATCGGCCAACTTTGTCTGCTTCTTCTGCAAATTAGAAAAATTGAAAATAATTTTAGATTAGTAAAAATGAATAATTTTAAATCATAGTATGAGTAAAAGTTTTAAGATACTTGCCTACACAACTCCCAAAACACTAAACTTGTTGAATACATATCAGCAGATTTAAATGCACTAAATGAAGTCACATCAATAGTATCATTGACTACTTCAGGAGCCATATAACGTCTTGTGCCTACTCTTGAGTTGGGAGCGATGTCAATTTCATTTCTTCGACTAAAATTATATAAAATATATTAATTATTATGGGTTCAAGACATACATTGTATAAAATAAATTACTACCTATCATATCGGACAGCTAAAGCAAAATCAGCAATACAACACTCTCCATCAGTCTTAACCAAAATGTTTCTTGATTTAATATCTCTATGGGCAATACATGGCTTGCCATGAGTACCATTAATTGGCTCATGTAAATGTGCCAAACCACTAGCTATTGATCGTGCCATAACAACTAGTTGAGCAGTATCAATAGTATTTTCTTTCAAAAAATCATGTAAGGAACCACGTTTATGATATTCTGTGATCAACATCATCTGAGCACCTCCAGCACTGACTTTTAAATCAGCTGCGATGAAACCTTAAATATTTTTGAAAAACATAATGAGTTAAAACAATCAAAATCGATAATATTATTTTATAATTTACCTAAAATGTTCTCATGTCTAAGTAAAACAGTTTGATATATTTCAGTTTCTCGTAGCCAACTCTGATCATTGATGGTGGTAAAAATTTTCACAGCTACATGTTCACCTCTCCAATTAGCTAAACATACTTTACCAAATCTACCCTCTCCAATTTGCCGCTCTATTCGTATTTGTTTGGCAATTGTTCTTTGAACCTAAATGGTAATGTTTTATTAAATAGTATTTAGTGTTTTATTTTAATCTCATATTATTGGTTCTTACAAGTAATGGAATCCCAGAACCAGAGCCAGATGAATGACCAATAAGCGTTTGCAACAAGTTACTGTTGCCGGATATATAGCTGTCAGTAGATGCTAAAGCATAGAGCCGATTTTTTTCTCTTCTTCTATATCTAAGATATATCCAACCTATGATGATTGCAGATACCAGGAGACAGATAATCATTGACAACATAAATGCGATGTAAGGTACAGAATTAATATGAACTTTGGGTGGTACTGTTGTTGTACTGTGTGGTATGTACATAGGTCTTATGTCTTTATTGCACATGTCTGAGTTGCAACACTGAATAGCTAGGCCATACAAAGAATTGCCACCTTTGCACTAGAAAAAATAAAATAAATAAGAATGTAACATTTATTATAACAGTTTGTTGACTGTTGAATAAATTTATACAGTAAAGTTTCAAAATAATTACTTGTAAGAAGCCTTGTTCACCAGCTGCAAGACACCCATAAGATACTATTGGTTCATATTCACCAGTTTCTTCGTTTACTTCCTCGTGTACAGCACTAAAGCATTGAG